TGCTGCTGCTGCCGCTGCTGCTGCTGCCGCTGCTGCTGCTGCTGCTGCTGCATGAATTCGTTTGCAAAGAGAAACAGCTCCGCAAAACGAATCAAATGGTTTGGCGGATAACGCGTGAGGATGGCGTCCAGCAGCTGCAGCGCAAATCCTAAACCCTAAACCCTAAACCCTAAACCCCAAACCCTAAACGCTAAACCCTGAACCCTAAAACGTTCGTCCTTTCGCCAGCGGGCATATCTGCTAAACGTTCTAGGGTTTAGGGTTTAAGGTGTGGGGCTTAGAGTAAAGGGTTTAGGGTTTAGGGTTTGGGGTTTGTCACCTTATCTCTGACTGCTGCTCTTTGCTGCTGCTGCTGCTGCTGCTGCAGCTGCTCGTCGGGGTTTACAAGAGTTGCCTTTGGAAAATGCCGGCGCAGCAAAACGCTCCAAATCTCTTCATCTGTCGCCGCCTGCAGCAAACCCTAAACCCTAAACCCTAAACCCTAAACCCTCGCCCACAGCACTGCCGAGCAAAACCCTGGCCTTCTGTATGGACTTGCGGCATTCTCTAGCCCTAAACCCTAAACCCTAGCCTCGGTTCTACGCCCCTCCTCAAGCTTTAGGGTTTGAAGCTTAGAATCTAGGGTTTAGGGTTTAGGGTTTAGGGTTTACCTCTAGAGTAGCCCGGCAGACACGAGAGAACCTCAAAATGTCCGGAGGCTCCAGGAAGCTGCAAATTAGGCGCTGTAAGCCTTTGCTTCCTAATGCTAGCTGCAGCAGCAGCAGCAGCAGCAGCAGTGGCGGTCAGTGAGAGGGCCGCGCAGAAGCAGCAAAAGAAGCCGCAGCAGCAGAAGTATGCGCCGCAGCAGCGGCAACAGCAGCAGCAGCAACAACAAAGTGAACAGCGGCAGCAACAGCAACAAAGGCAGCAGCAGCAGCAACAGAAACAGCAGCAACAATAGCAGCAGCAGCAAAACTAGCTAACCTCGTGGGAAGGGGGTGACTGAAGCATAACAAACAGCTCTTCGTCTTCTTCCTGCTGCTGCTGCTGCTGCTGCTGCTGCTGTATTTTCTTCGGCCAGCACAAGGTGTCTTCGTTTCTAATTTCGACTGTATCCCAGTCGATCTCCTCGTCTTCCTGCTGCTGCTGTTGCTGCTGCTGCTGCCGCCGCTGCTGCTGCTGCTGCTGCTGCTGCTGCTGCTGCTGCAGGTAATTCATGCGCTCTTCGCAGGCGCTCTTAGTGCCCACAAAAAGTCTGCTGCTGCTGCTGAGGATCTCCTGGAGACTCCTGCGCAGCAGCAAAAGAGTGTCTGCAACAAGTTGCTGCTGCTGCTGCAGCAGCAGCAGAGAAGCTGCAGCAAGAGACATCATGCGGGGGTGAGGCAGCCGCTGCAGCTGCAGCACAACGCACAGCTGCAGCTGCTCCTCCTTGTCTCTGAGCTGCTGCAGCTCCTTTCGCTTTTTCTTTTGCTGCTGCTGCTCCCGCTGCTGCTCTGCTGCTGCGTCAGCAGCAAGCCAGTCTGCTGCTGCAGCGGGCGCTGCTGCTGCAGCAGGCGCTGCTGCTGCAGGCGCTGCTGCAGCAGCGGGCGCTGCTGCAGCAGATGTTGCAGACATTTTCTATGAGGCGTTCAGGGGGGTACGGAGCACGCCGCGAAAACCCTAAACCCTAAACCCTAAACCTTAAACCCTAAACCCTAAACCTGAACAAGTTTACCCTCAGCCGCCTCCCTAGGGAACAACACCCCAGGGAAGGGAGTTAACAAATATATCTATTCGAAAGCTAAGGGCTTAGGGTTTAGGGTTTAGGGTTTAGGGTTTAGGGTTTAGGGTTTAGGGTTTACGGCTCAGGGTTTAGGGTTTGGGGCTTGAGAGGCCCAACGGCACGGGCCCCCAACCTGTACGGGGGCCCCTTAGTTGCTGCTTGCATGCGGAGGGTTTAGGGTTTAGGCTTTAGGGTTTAGTGTTTAGTGTAACAGCCAAATTTCAAAATTGTGTTAATAAACCTCTTTTGGTGTTAAAAGGGCCCCATTTCAGCCTGCGACCCCCTAGGGGGCCCCAATAACTCAAGCCGCCCCCCTAGGGTTTAGGGTTTAGGATTTAGGGTTTGGAAACTGCAGAGACCCTCATGTGTTATTCCCTTGTGGCCTCTGGAGATAAATAAAAAGGGGCTCGAGGGCCTCTGTTACACTCTACACGGCAAACCCTAAACCCTAAACCCTAAACCCTAGAGTTCACAGAATCGATTGC